TTTGTAGAATGATGAATATTAAGATACTGTTATGGTTTTGCTTTGCACATATCCATATCAGTAGAGCAATACAGTCCTGCCAGAAATATACATGTACACAAGAAATAGAGACACTCCGGGAGTATATTAGGCTCAGCACAACGAGACAAGATGATTTCAGTAAGTATTGATCGACTTTTGTTTTGAATGTTTCAATTTGACGTTTCAACTGCAATAAAACTTGTATTTGTGCATGTTTTAGTGCTTTTTTGTCAAAGTAAGGAAAGAGTCACACGTTTGCTGTGTCTGGGTCAGTGCAGTGAAGTCTTGGGTTTAAACAACTTTATTTTCAATGGTTTTATACGACCTTTAGTTATGTTATTTATATTAAACTAGCGGACCCGACAGACGTTGTCCTGTCTACACGTATTTAATTTGAATAAATTAATATGAAGTTAATATTTGATGAAAATTGTGAATCTAAACCATTCCCAGATCCCCATGAACACTAACAAAAAATTTCATCAAAATCGGTCCAGTCGTTTGAGAGAAGTTCAGTGACATACACACTCACAAAAGAATTATATATATATAAAGATTAGCGAGGTACTGCCTTAGTTACACTCCTTTGCTTTTGCAATTTTTGAGTGTTGTAATGGCTGTTGCATTTACAACTCCACGTATGAACAAATATGGCAAATTGCTAGAAGAATCAATGTAAATACATTTACGAGTACGTAGACGTATATGGCTTTATTTCCAAAAATATTTTTAGGCCCAGCGGTAGATTTTTTTAAACGATTAGGAGCAGAACAAGGTATAGAGGTAACGGTGTTCGAGGCTAATCCGAATGATCCTATTGTTATAATGAAATGGCCGGGGCAGGATCCTTCACTACAAAGTATCGTCCTTCTTTCTCATATTGATGTCAATTCAGCTTGTTATGAGGTATTATTGTTACTTTAACGAAACACTTGAACAAAAACAAATTAATATCAGAATTAGATTGATGACAGTTTTTGTATGCATATTTCGGTAGAGAATATTCGCAATTAGATATTATACTTGTAAACTATTTCAGCTCAGTTAAATCAAAATGTGTAAACTTTATTGCTATAATACTTTTTTGTTTTTTACTTTGCTAATCAATAAATATGTTGTGTTCTTGAAGCATACAATATGTTATGAGGCGTAAGGATATACATATAAGTATTATGCCAATGCAAAGTTTTAATAACGTTTTATAAATGTGAGACGTAAAACATATAAATATATAATTTTAGACATTATTAATCACAATCCTTTGGCGCGAATAGCGCGCTTACATTGCAAAGTCATGTCAGAATGATTATTGAGGGGACATAGATGTCAAAATTTTAGTAAGGCTAGTGTTGTGCCAGTACACTCGCACAGTGTCGGATTTTCTTCCTAACAATGAGTATTTAGTTTATTTGATATATCTAGTATGTTAGAGTATTAATACGATCACAAAGACTGTCATTATAGAGTTATTAAATGTCATTATTTTTTAAAGATATAAATTATCAGCGTATTCCTTAATTGGTTTTAGGATGGTTGGTCTTATCCGCCGTTCTCTGGAGCGATAAATGATAATTGTGAAATCGTAGGCCGAGGTACTCAAGCTCAAAAATCTGTTACAATACAACATTATGAAGCTCTAAGGCAATTGAAACAAAATAATGTTACCTTGCTACGAACTGTGTATATAATTGCCACAACAGGTTTGTTAAACTATCGCTAAATATACGTCAGCTAGCGGCTACTTGGTATAAAAGAGAGACGTAAAGACATCAAAGGGTCTATCACGGGTATTTGCGAAATTTCCGTAACGTCATCGACGTTGTTGTACAAATGAGGGCCATTTACAAATCCAATACTTTTGCCGGTAACGAATACTTTCTCGCAAATTTTCGTGCTCGTATGCACTTTGCAACAAGATGCATTGCCTACCTTTAATAGACAGAGTTATATTAGAGATAATTAAAGATATATATTTAAGGTCTTTTTTAATTTTCCTACAGAAAATGGTAAGCACGCAAATATTTCACGGTAAATGCTACGATGTCTTTGCAGTTGGCTGGAGATTTTTTTACATTTATTATTATCCTTTTTATTTATTAATTATATTATTTTCTTTAAAACGTTTCCCATAAATTTCAGATCAAACAACTGGTTCGAATGGTATAAAACTTTTTGTTCAAACAAAGACATTCCAAGATATGAACGTAGGCTTTACTTTGGGTATAGGAGGTCCGACCGACCAACAGGAAATATCTTTGTTCAATAGATTCAAAACACAGTACGGTAAGTTATAAAGTTTTAAACTACAACTTTTAAAAACAAAGTAATGGCAAAGCTTTCAAGGTACTAACTTTTGCCTGAATGAAATTTTCATTAGATAACATTTAATTTTTTTTTAAATAATAGTCAAGTCAGCTAAGATTATATGCATCGCCAGCTTGGAACTCGGAGCTTATCTTATGTGACGATTACTAGGACTTACTGTGGGTTACTGGGACAAAAAAAAATTGTTATGACAGGGATGTCACTATGTTTTATGCGATTAGTTAGGCTGGGAATGCAAATTGATAATAAAAGTGCGATGTTTAAATTCGCACGTGTAAAGTCAAACTATTAATAAATATTTTTTTTCTATCAAAGTAAATCTGTTATTAATTTTAAAGTAATTTAGTTAATTTAAATGTGTTTCAGTAATACGCTTAGACTGCTACGGCGTATCTGGATCCAGTGCTGTATATCCAAACTCCACAGCTGCAGATTTCGTATGTATCGTTTGTCTTTGAACTTCATATAAATATTTTGGTAATGGTAACCCAAGGCTTATTACAGTTACTGTGGTATTTTTTTTATAGTGTGGATCTGTTTTAAAAGCTTACAATAAATACAGAGAAGGACAATATAAACTATCATTAAGAACTAGAGATTCTGGTGATTATACAGCTATTAATTATATTGGGGGACGGGTGAGTGTGTTGATTTTTTATTTAATTTAATGATTTTTTTTTATAACAGAAGGGGGCAAACGATATATTTAATCACACTGATATGCGACTGTTAAGATGGATGAATGGAAGTTTTTTGAAGGTATCTTTAGAGAGGCTCAACAGATCGTGATGAATTTTGGCACATTTAGATTTTTTTAATCAAGCACGAATGGTGTCGCGGTCGACAGCTAGTAAATAACATAAATACATTTGATTGATTTACTTGTTTATTGATTTAATAGAAAAGTGAAAAGTCGACGTATATTATCTCTGAGGCTTGCTCACTTCGTAAATGCAATTTTTTATCTAGAGTAAATTTTTTTTAGAGACATTTATTTTTTCAGACTATCATAGAGTACGGCATGATACCAGCACACTTGGCGGCATACTACGTCGCTGACTTGGCACTTAATACTACTGTAGAAGATTTTATTGAAATAGTAAGTTTCTTGATCAATACTGACCGATTGACTAAAAAGAATTAAGATTTTTAGCGTAAATTTTTTTTAAGTAAGCAATGTATGTAAAAAATGTATGTGAGTTTGTATGTATGTATGAATAGATTCCACTATGACCGTGTCTAGCCTAAACGATTGAATGATTAACAAATTGCGCTATTATACGGATCATACAAAGGATATAAGATATATACTATTGTCAGAATAGTTTTATTCCAAGGCTAAGTAATGTTGCAAATAGTTACTCAGAGGGGTAGATTTCGTCTTAATGTAAAGTTATCGATGTAATCCAACTTCATTTGTAATTGAACCGTCGAATTTTCACACATTTTCATTTTATCTGATATTTTTTTAAATATTACTTTGAATTGTTTTCGATAATCCAGGTTCGAGGATGGATTATGGGTGCGGGTGGAAATATAAAACCAAGTTCGGTCTATAAGGAAGAAGGTGGTAGTTATTACACTAGGACTGACGACAGCAACCCGTACTACGTGGCAATACAAGAGGCTTTTAATGAACTGTGAGTATAGCAATAGTAATAATAGACTCGCTGTCTTAAAACGAGTCTAGGATAATGTTTAAGTTGACCTACACGATATTTGTATTAGAAATAATTTATCGATAATACGTAAATTGTAAGAGTTATTGGGCTGTGTGGTCGAAAGCCCATTTACTCTTATACTCAGGAAGATAGGTTTAGATTCAAACTTTCACAAAAGTCTGTGTAGTTTAGTAAGATCTAGTATTCTCTTCTCTGGAGTCGCTTAATCTTTGATAAACCACTCACAAACTTGTCACCTAAATCTTAATGTTATTGTGACCTTAGTAGAATCACTGATCAATACTCTAGGATAAATAGGTAAAGCTTCCCGTAAACAATCAATTTTTTGGTCTTTGATTGAGTTCTTTATGAAAAATTTCCAGCGTTAAACAATAAATTATCAAACTATATAGTTATCTAGTCGCTTAAATCAATTTCTGACCAAATCCTGTATTTCAATTAGTATTACTAACTTTGCTAATGCTTAACATATATTAATAGAATTATTGTATATTTCAGATGTATTCCATTTCGAATATTAACGACGCCTTCTACGACAGACACGACGTCCATTGTGAAAGCTGGTATTCCTGCCTTTGGATTGACACCGATACGGAACACACAGGTCTTGGTGAACGGAGTTAATGAACGGTTGCCGTTAACCACATATTTTGAAGGGCTACGTATCGTGAAAGAGATAGTAACGCGTCTGGCTAACATACCCGAAGACAAAGTGGCGGATGATCCTTCCACTTACTTACAGTCAGATAAATGTAATAAATATTCAAATTAAAAAAGGGCAAGCAATCATAGGAGTACGATAATAATAAAAATATTTTTTATTAAGTTTTTGTTTAATCCATTTGAATTTATTATATTTTTCTTGGTGTTCTTGTCTATGTTATTTTTTAGACAAATTTAATTGCTTCTTAATAATAAATAAAAATTATGATTAAATAAATAATGTACATTATTAAATTTTATAGCAAAATAAATGTATTTAAACTGACTTCGACGCATTTAATTTACCATTGGTTACATTTTCATTACAAAATTTTTCTTTTCTATATGAAATATAACTGGCAGCCTAATCTTTGATAATATATATTCGTAAAAAATATTATCTCTAACAATAAACTAAATGATATTAAAAATTCTCAGATTAAAATCTTAAGTAAAGTAGGCACTGATATCTCTATCAGCCATAAGCGTCAAAGATATTTGACATCATAATGGAACTTTTGTTAAATTTTTTATCGGACTGGCTGTAAACATATGATTATAAACAAGGGGTTCTATGTATAAAAGTAAGATTATAAAGGACTAAAGCCTAAACGACTGAACAGATTATGACCAGTGAGGTCTTTTTTTTTTTTGTAAAAATGTTTTTGTTCTGTTGTTACTATTAATACGCCAACACTGTGTAATTTATTTTCATGTTTGCTGTTTTATGTGGAAACTACGTATAATGTATAGACATTTGATTTGATAAAAAATAAGATAAATGCGAATATTCAGATAGACGGATGGATGGGTTGATTTTTTTTTTATTACGTATCTACAGAAGAGCTAAGCAGACCTCGCTAAAATAGTAGATAATAGTCTGGAAAAACACAGTTTACTGATTCGTTTTTTTTTAATTACGCGAGCACCAAATCGCCGGCAAAAGCCATATATTTTAAAATCGTTAACTTAAGTCACTTAATTATCCAAAGTTGGAGCTGATATTAATTTAATCAACTTACTTTATGGCCAATTATTTTTCCCCTTTTCAACCTTTGTTATCGCCCTGCTATTATTGTTTATGCAAAATTACAGTATATAAGTTGGAAAGTAAATTAATCTCACATTTAGTATTAAATTACTTTTAATTCCGATGTTATTTTTTTATCAATTAAGAAACATTTTTGAAATAATTGATTTAATAAATAATCTTCGCCTTATTATATTTTTTAAATAAAAATTAATAAATCTATACAATGAAAATTCACTGTTTAAAAAGAAATTATGTCGTGTTCATCCTTCTTTGGATTGTTCTTGGCGATGTGCAGGGTACAAAAATTGTTAATTGTGAGCAGTACGTTTGTAGGCCCGAAGTGAGCCTGCTTCAAGATTATGTTGGCATTAACACCTCGCCGGGGAGAGATTTAAGTAAGTATAATGCTACCGTGGCATGGTAAGAAATCCTCTCTTACTCTGTTTTATTTCCATCGTTCTTTACAAAAACATCGCAATATTCATTATTCTAATCGTTTCGTAAGAAAAGCTTGACATCGTAGTATCGAAAAGTACAAAAGCAATCGCGGATCAGTTCTAATTATAATTGAAACGTTCAAAGAACTTTTATTTCAAAATTGTTTTATTTATTACTGGTGTTTTTATTTTTTAAATTGGAATTGAAACAATGGTAACAATTACATTATAAACTCGCTGTAGGGTCGGCCGTTGATTTTTTAAGAAGGTTAGGAGATATACAGAACATTAAAGTGACCGTGTACGAGGTAAGGCCGAACTATCCTGTGGTCATATTCAAGTGGCCCGGCCAAGATCCTGAGCGACGCAGCATTCTTCTTCTTTCTCATATGGACGTCGTTCCCGCGTGTTATGAGGTATTATTATTTTATATTTCATTAAAATTCATACTGATTGTCACCATCATTGGATAAAATGTGCTAATCCCTGCAGATTTCATTAGAACTATTTATACTGTTAGGAAGAAAGTCCGACACTGCCGGTGTATCGGCGCAACACTAGCCTTATTAAAATAACAACGTTTATCTCCCCTTACTAACCAATCTGACACTTGACTTGGTAAACAATAAAATCACCAAGTTTAATATCTTCCTATACATTTTTTCTTCTATTTGATGTTTTTATTACATTTTTAGGATGGTTGGACTTATCCCCCGTTCGCTGGTGCAATCAATGACCAATGTGAAATTGTCGGGCGCGGCACTCAAGACATGAAATCTTTTACAATCCAATACTTTCTAGCTCTCAGAAATCTGAAAAAAAATAACATAAAACTGCTTCGGAATGTCTATATGGTTGTCACGCCTGGTTTGTTACGAAATTTTCAAATTTATTTAATTAAATAAGGATTCCTTTACTTTTCTGTCTTTTAATTTTTTCAGACGGAGCGGTTGGATCATTGAACGGCATAGTGCCGTTTCTAGAATCTGATACATACAAACAATTGAATGTGGGGTTTGTCTTAGACAGAAGTATCCCTAATCCAAATAATGAAATATATATATTTAATAGCGACAAAACAACACTCGGTGAGTTAATCTTTATTGTTTATATAATAATTTTAATATTATCGAGTAATTGGATGGAGTAATCCATCCTACCATGACGCAAAATACTTACCAGTCAATAAGTTGTGGAAACCATATCTCATACTACTAAGTAGGGTAGGTTTGATAGTGAACGTCATTTAAGAACAGAAATATAAATTTAAATTTAAAATACGGAAAAGGTTAAAGCTACACAGCTTGTATCAGAATCTTGAACAATACCAGCATCAAATAATGCATATTGCATGCTTGTTTGATCTGTTCCAGTGTACCGTATTGACTGTTACAACCCATCAACTTCTAGTGCATTCTTGCCAACTATTGAAGCAACCGCATATGGAAAGGTACTCCATACTTTATTTAATAATTTAATATTTTCATTTACCAATCAAAGTTAGTAATATCGTTTTGCAATAATTAATTTTCAGTGCTCAAATTTCTACAGATCAGTACGATATTACAGACAACAGCAATTTAATATATATATAAAAACAACAAATCCTGGTGATTATACTGTGATAAATTTAGTTGGAGATCGGGTGAGTATTATACAGTATTGTAAAGTTCAATTCTATCTTTTTCACTAGTACTCTGTGCTTAAGTTTATGTGTTAGTTACTTTTAGTTTTTAAGAACAATTATTCGTAATATATTTATATTTTTTTTTCACAGAGTCTTATAATATACAGCACGATACCAGCGCATGTGGCTTCATATTACATAGTCTACTTGGCACATAACACCTCGGTGGCTAATTTCAACAAAATAGTAAGAGTTATTTTCATTTCCTGTATGCTTATTTAAACCTTGTAGATCGTGTTATACATCAGTACCCCCAAAAATATTATATACTTATGGTTTTTTTATGCAGATACGTGGTTGGGCGTCTCAGGCGGAAGGAAATGTCACGGTTAGTCTTGTTTATTCAAGAAGAAGAACATATATTACAAAAGTAAATCGTAGAAATCCTTATTGGGTGGCAATTAATGAAACTTTTAACGATCTGTAAGTATACGAATAAGCATATTTAAAGTAATAGATATAATATAATCTACCACGGATTATATCCAGTGAAATATGGAGGTCAGTGTTCGGTGATAAGAAGGAAAAAAGAGAATCTTGCCTCTTTAGTATGACACTTTTGAATTCCGTTAACCATTTCCTTTTATCGCCCAATGCATAGTAGTCAATTTTTTTACCATTATTGTACCTTGCAGATTTTAAGTATGGTATTATTCGATTGTATCAGTAAAGGTGTACAGACAGCTAACTTAATATTAAACACATGTTTTTTTTAGAAATATATCAATAAATCAGACATCAGGCTACACTACAACTGACATAACCTTTGTCGTTGGAACTGGTGTACCAGGATTTGGTATAACACCTCAGCGGAATACACCAATTTTGGTGAACGGAATTAACGAAAGGTTATCGCTACCAGTCTTTTTCGAGGGTATCAAAATTTATGAGAGAATTTTACGCCGTATCGCGAATTTACGTGATAGCCAGGTCAATGACGATCCTACTGTTTATTTGACAAAACCACGTGTTTTATAAAATATCGTTGTTACACATGTGTGCGACAGCAAACAATAATAAATGTAATGTTTTGGGACTGACATGTTCAAAAGAACGTAAGTCCCTTACTAAAAACAGAGAAAAAAATGTAATATTCATGTTTTTTTAATATAATAATCTAATTAAAATACAATTACGCTCCATTTTAATAAAATCAATACATCTATATATGTTTGAGAGTTTATCATTAAAACCAAAATTATTAATTAGGTGTATTCGGCATCAGATAATCACTGGAATTGTTCGATACTTCGTCTGGGGATAAGTTGAATAATTGTTTGAAGATCTCCTCGTAGATTGTGATTCCGTTTAAGAATGTATGTATATTGAGTCGTTCGTTGACAGCGTGGACGAGATTCTCGGTGCTGATTATTGGAGACAGACCGAAAACAGGATATCCCGCAGCCGCCACGTACGATGCTTCTTCAGGTTGAGAGGCGCTGCGGGGGCAGAATGCTATGTCCCTGAAAACAAAGTAAAATACATTAAAGATAATGGGGATTTGATGAAACAAAGTATCCAACCTTTTTGATACGCAAAAAGGTCAAAATTAATTCCTCTAGGATACGTTTTACTACAATCCGAAAGGCTAGTGCTCTTGGAGTAGAACACGTTAAGTTCTTGATTTTATACACTAAATAGTACTGTTATTGTAAAGAACCAGCGTATAAGCCAGTATTGTGACATTGCAATAGAAACACTTTAGCCTAAAGCACTCGATAAAATGCGACATTCAAGTAGTAAAATTAGATCTCGTTTTTTGTTTAAAATGAATGAATGGAAAGCTGAGCAATAGTTGTGCATTTATTCGTTATAAAAAAACACAGCAACTCTTTGTAATATTATATATGTAGAAGAGTAGAAAAATATAAGTACTTACAAGCTTATGGAAGCTTTTTCCAATGCTCTGTAGTACGAATTGTCCTCATCCACCACAGAATCGGGGCCGGCATCCTGCCGCAACAATGTTCTCAGCTTGGTGTTAGGTCCCGCCTCTTCAAGCCACTCATAAACCTGTCAAAAGTTATCATTACCACATTATCGTTCACTTTTCTGCTAATATTAGTTTTAATCCACCTTTTCCCCTTACAATGCATTACATTATAAATATACACTGGTTATTGGATACATTTTTTTAAACTTTTCTTTTTAGACACGTAAATTTCTTTTTTTTAATTAAATAATTTTATATGAATAGCTACGGGCACGTCGCTAAACTATAAAATATATTTCAGTATTTTAAATAGATATTCACTTACGATCTTTTTGAACTGAGCGAAGCTCGTATTAACCGCCAGAAATGAGTCGTAGTATAAATTAATAGTTGAAGGTATTACGCCCAATACAGTATTAACCTATGGGAAAACAGAATGTATTAATAAAAATGTTAAACTTTACCTTAACATCATATTTATATTATAACCTGTAATTTCAAATTGAAATTAGAACATCCTGTACCAGTCACATAGTATGAAATTGTACAATGACGTTTACACAGGTGATGTAAAATATATTTGAGTCTTACTTTTGGTCCTACAAAATTAATGACAGTAATGTTGTCCATGTCGCAAAAGCCTGATTCTTCAGCGGCTTCGTATTGTCCATTTCTGTATTTTGTATAAGCCATGTAAAAGCGGCCACACTGAAACAAATTATCCATCAATATCATGTCACCTATATGTAAGTTGTAGGTTTTTGTTCAAATAGTCCAGGATACCTTACTAATATTATAAATGTGAAGGTTTGGATGTACGAATTGATGTATTTTATTATTATATTTTTTGGGTGTTTGTTGAAGATATCTGCGGAGCGGCTCCTTAGATCTCGATGAAATTTAACATAGATGTAGTCTGGGAAAACAGCGCCGCGCAGAGGTCGCGGATGACAGCTGGTCACACATAATATCATAGGCACCTTGTTAGAGATGTTCATGTCCAGTATTTACTTGCTCGTTAGCCATCTTTTACTAGATAAAAAATATATTGCATGTCTATGGTTTCAAATCCTTTGAAAAGTATTATTTACCATTCCATCTGCTGAAACAGCTGGGTCGATTAACAAAGTGCTGTCTCCACTGGGTCCTGTACATTTCACTTCAAATGCTGGAAGAACAAAAAAAATGCCTCGGCTTGACAATTAAAATGACTTGGCTTATCTGTGGTAAATAGTACCAAGTCGTACTGGACTGCTATTAGAATTAAAAAAATACTCACACCATCGTGTCTTTCCTCGGTACAGTAAAGCAATGTCTTCACTCATTGAAGGCACTCCGATAGTCAGGAAAAATCCAACATTCAACTCTTTGAATGATTTGCTTTTTAAATACAACGCAATACCATTTCTAGATCCTGTTTCTTTATCTGTTGAGCAAAGTAAACAGAAAATAATAACAGGGCACTGAAACCTGATCGTAAGCGAGAAGCAGATTTAATTCGCTGACTTTACCTGGCGTAAGAATCATGTAGACATCCCTAAGAGCAGCAGATTGTTTTCTCATTCGCATGATAGCCTCGTACTGTTGCATAGTAACCGACTTTTCTTGTGTACCACGCCCGTAAATATCACCGTTGTCATCTATGTGCGCTGAAAACGGTGGGTATGTCCATCCTTCCTACAATTTTATCAAGTTTTACAAATAACATCTATAACCAGATACTTAATCCGTGGATTTTAATAAAGATTGTACTAATTAAGATATGACAACAGAATGGTTAAGGCTATTTATTATTCATATGTTGCTTCTGCGTGCCTCCCAAATTCATAAATCTTATATATAAAATTCTCGTGTCACAAATTTCGTTCCCATACTCCTCCAAACGACTTGATCAATTTTCATGAAATTTTGTGAGCATATTGAGTAGGTCTGAGAATCGGTTACTATGTATTTTTTATCCTGTATCTATTATTTATAGTATCCCGCGCGGACGGAGTCGCGGGCGTCAGCTAGTAATATTTAAAACTATAGAAGTCTATTCAATGTGGGCTTTCGGGTGACCGTCGTAAATTGAAAAGTTACATAATAGAAAATAAAATAAAATTCTAAAGCAAATACCCTCATGTCCGCTGGCACAACATCCATGTGCGTGAGGAGTGCCATACTGGGTAACGAGGAATTCTTGCCAGGCCATTTCAGGATAACAACGGGATAGCCTTCTATAGCCTCGTATGTGGAAAACTTCGCTCTGGCAATTAATGCGTGCCTCCTCCAGAAATTAACAGCTGGGGCTATATTACATTAAAATAATATATTTAAACAGTATGATATGACAACGGCAAAAAAATAACGTTAAGTAATAATTAATTTATTTATTTTCGCAACACTTAACATTGATCCGACTAAAACAAAATGGTCGGAACAAGCATTTTTATAAATAATATTGTCATCCCTTTTATTTTCTTGATAAAACAGAGACAACGCTATATGACAACATTTCATGTTTCTCACTTCATTGGACTGTATTTAAACTGTCCATTAAACTGTACAGTTGTAATCGTGGGTTTCCGAAACCACAATTCCTGTTTTAAGCATATTGTTATATTTTTGTTTCAGAAACCTACGGTCAGTTTCGGCTACACATGTAAGTTTAAATTGATCTATTAAAACTGAAAGTGTGAGCGGACTTTATATACAAGTAGAAATGAATCATTAAAGGCTTACTAAGATCTTTTCCAGTGACTGTATCTATCTGTATATACTGCTGGAACCGACGCACCTCTGGAATTCTGGACAATTGCTCGATGGTTGAAGCTTCACTCAAAATCACTATTGACGCAGCGTATATCAAGAGAAAGTACATTTTATGAAAATAATTAGGTACAATTAGTATTTAGAGGCAAGCAGACTATTTCAAACTAATTTATAACAAAACGGAAAGGTAGTGGAAGGTAATAACGATAAGAACTCTTTGCATAACCTAATTACAATATATTTTATATTTCTACTATCTTTGCCCGCGACTTCGTGCGCGTGGAATAGTGTATTTGGGTAGCATTTTTACCGTATTGACATCAATTTCACCTTTTTTAATAACTCCTTAAACATTATATTAGAATGGGCCTAATATTTGTCTTTTGTCTCAAAGTTATAAAAAAACTGGTATTAGCGCGCGACACCGTCTATTTTTTTTCAGAGGGGAATGCTTTATGCATACTCCGCGCCACGGGGGGGACGCGGTGGTTATGTGGGATTCTCTTCCGGATGGGAAGCATACCCACTAAGCCCCTCTGTTCCTCCAACGCATCGGGACGGGACCACGGTCACGCTGTCGCTCTCGTCCGCGGCCCAACGCGACACCGTCTACGCAGAATTAGAAAAAAGCTTGCCTACCTAAAGAAATATAGCTTTTACCACCTGCGGATAGTGTAGATTCCCGACAGTGTATATTTTTTTCAAATCGGTTCAGTAGTTTTGGAGTCTATTCATTGCAAACAAACAATCAAATCTTTCTGTAAAGAATATATATAAAAAATAAATTGAACCGTGACGAATTTTATTAACTCAAAAACTACTACTTAACTGTTAATATCTATGTTTTTTTAGGATAAAGTTATCAAAGAGTGTGTATATTTTATTTAAATGACCTTACTATCTAATTTTTATACGACTTGTCCCAAAGAAGGTTTCTGCTTATCTGAAGAGTAAATGACGCTCCGGTGATAATCTTAGTAGTAAGGTAACATTTAGTTAAGTTACAAAGTCACTCTCAAGAGCAAACTACGTCTTAAGAAAAACGAAGGACATGTATCAAGACTGCGTATTACTGTTAATTCGATATTTTATTACCTACTAGCTGTGGCCCGCAAAACCATCCAAATTCAAATTCAAAGAAACATCCATTCATCCATCCATCTAAACTTTCGCATTTATAATATCCTGTAAAACAAACCAAAACCTGGTATCCTGGTAAACCGATTTTGATTCGTTTTTATTCGAAAGCTGTATGTCAGCTGTCAGTAATGATGGTTTTATTAAATAAGATAGAATTGGTTGGTTGTTCAAAACTTCAGTAGTGGTTCAAAGACTTCAAAATTTAGTGGTTGGCTCAAAAACCATCAAAATATTCACCATATTATCGTAATTTGTACCTGTTTTATGAATTTGATATACATGCAAATTATTATAAACGTTCTGTTTATTATCTTTTACCAAGTCAAATATAACTTTATCAATTACATAATTATCATAATAAAAATACGTAATCATTGTCTCATCTTTTTTATTTTGTTTAAATAAAACTTTTTTCAGTTTTTAAATTATTTTTTTTCGACAAAAAAGGATAAACTAATGTGTAATATAAAATAAATTTGTTTATTATCGTAACAAAAATATATATTATAAAATTATATATAAAGACATATTTAAACACAACTTTGTGTAGAATTATAGTAAATTGCAAACTTTTTGTAAAATATGAGTGTACACTTGTATTCCTTTTAAGAATGTTTTCACTTGTACGTATTCATCTCTGTCATGAAACAACAGTTCTGTGCGAGGTAAGTATGCTAATCCAATAGCGGGGAATCCCCGATTTCTGATAGACACCATATCTGATGCAGCCGGGAACACGATTGGGAGAAATTTTATACCTCTGTGAATTAAAGATGTTTTAAATATGTGATATAAGGTACACGTCCATTGGCCCGCATCGTACGCACGGCCCGCAAGGGATTTTAGATTGTTTTATATCATTTGACATAGCGCTGCGTCCATCATCCGCGCCGACAACATCGCATCAACACAAAGCAAATCCATTAAATCCGGTGCGGTGCGTCAGCGGTGGCCAATGGACGCGTTCCTATAAGATAGATTAACGGCAGTTAAAGATAAATGAATAATTAGTAGATATTGTAACATAGGAAATGATCTTAGATTAACGTCGAATAAGCGCAGTAAGTGAAGCTCTTTGACGATGTTTCTGTGGGATTCCACCGACTACTTCTATTGAGACATACGTAATCATCTCTAATTAAAAAACAAAGACGACAATATGTTTTAAAGCACTATTTTCAGCTGTTTTCGTTGGCAACTGTTCAGGTTAACTTACTTATCCTTTAATGCGTCCTCAACGGCTACCCAATAAGGATTGGTAGCATCTAAACGAGTTGGCTTAGCGACATCGACCTTTGCTATAAACGATAAATTAGTGTCATTCCCAACTTCTGAGATCCATTTCTGTATCTGAAATATTTTTAATCCGATATTCCAACAAGCAGGAAAACTTTAAATACATATATTATTAATCATCATCATCATCAGCTCACTATACCTCCCCACCGAGGGGCTCGGTGCCTACCCTAAGTTAGGGGTAACTAGGCCATAGTTAACCACACTGGCCAAGTGCGGGTTGGTTGACTTCACACACATCTTTGAATTTCTTCTCAGATATGTGCTGGTTGCAACACGATGTTTTCCTTCACCGTAAGAAGGTCGGATAAATGTACTTATGTAAATCGGAAATCGATAAACACATTGGTAAATGGCGGAATTCGAACATAGGACCTGCAGATTGCAAGCCAAGTGCTTGAACCATGAGCCACCGACGCACGAAATTATCAATGCGTTAAGCGAAAACATTGTATTACTTTTTAAGGAAATTGCGTGAACGAAAAGATGTTTCGTTTGACACGATTAACTTAAATATGGGAGAAGAGCATAATTTTTTTTTAGTTATTATAAAAATATAAATTCTTTAGAGGATGACTATGATAAAACATTTATTTACCATTGCTTCAACCTCACATATTTGAGCTGATATCGCAAGTCGCATGTCGATCACCACAGTTATTTGAGATGGTATTACATTTGCAACAATACCACCCTGAAAACAGTATCAAACATATGCATAATTTTTTATACTATAAATACAAAAAAAAATAATCATCTCATTTTTTTAACGAAGTGTAAACTTACCCTAATAATATCAACGTTAATCGACGTATAAGATCCATAATCTGTGGGGTCATTGGACAATTTTATTTGTATCTGTTGGTCCCGGAATTCTGAAGTGATGTCTAAAAGCCGTCGTAACTTAAAGAAAACACAAAATTATAATAGTATTCATTTATATAAAAAGTACTTATGTTTGAAATATTTACCTTTTCCACAGCTGTTCTTTTAGGAAGCGTTGAGGCATGGCCACCATCTCCGTATAATGTTAAATTTATTTCTGTAAAAGGAACACATTAATTTTGTTTTTAATTTAATTTTTCTTTCTCTATCACACACTATCTTTGTATCTGTCATGTTGTCATGACAGTCTTGTAATACTGGTAAAATATTACTCACGCCAATGCCTTTTATCTTGATATAAAACGTAAACTGTATCATCTGGAGACGCCATACCTTCGTCGAAAAAGAAACCAGGATTCAAATCTTTGAATGCCTTAGTTTCAATAAATGGGATCATACCATTGAGGCCACCAGACTCTTCATCTGAAACATGTTTTAATCTTTCAAAATTAACAATATATAGATTGTAATATTCCGCAGTATTATTTCTACATAGAAGCCATTTGTCAACTAATCGTTAAAGACGACATGAAAATACAATGTAATATGAAAATAAATATTTTACATTGTATTGACTATAAAAGATCTGAAAGAAATTTTGATAACCCTAATATCAGGACCTCATCCAATTGGTCATTTATTTTCCCACGACACTTAGGAGATCAATACGTTGATAAAATATAAAACAAGGAAAGAACGAACACATGTCGCGGCGAATGAAAATGTCCGTAGGTGTTACGAATATACGACATACCTGGCATGAATAGTAGATGTATAGTACGTCGCAATTTGATACCAGATTTCATAAGTGTCTTGACAGCTTCTAAGTAAGTGATACCCAGTGTTTTAGTATCCTGTGTGCCGCGTCCGAACATCTTACCTCTATCATCAATGTGTGCCGAAAATGGAGGATATGTCCAGTTTTGCTAAAAAATAAATAAATATTTATCTTATATATAAAATTCTCGTGTCACAATGTTCGTTCCCATACTCCTACGAAACGGCTTGACCGAATCTCATGAAATTTTGTGAGCATATTGAGTAGGTCTGAGAATCTATTTCTAATCCCGCGCGGAAGGAGTCGCGGGCGACAGCTAGTAATAGATAAATTACTCTTACACCCTTTCCGTAGACAATAAAAGCACTAATTTACTGTTAAAGCGATCTGTATCGTTCAAATTATGATGTCTTTTGTGTATGAAATTTTATTTAGCCATTTAAACTTTTAGACCTTACCTCTGCAGCAGGCACTACATCCATATGAGAATTGAGAATGATGCTTGGTAGTTTGGATTTTCTTCCCCGTAATGTGATGACACAGATCGGTTTCCCTGAAGGGCGATATACAGCAAAGGGCAGACCCAAACTGTCCGCTTGATTTTTCCAAAAGTTTACAGCGCGTTCTGTTTAATTTAATATATTAATAATATTACTTGTAATACGTAAATCTAGTGTAAGATACTACTAAAATACCTTTTGGAAGTAAACGAATGCATTCAAACCTCTGAGATAACTTTCACACAACTTACAATAAAAAAAATCCTTACCGATATTTTTTTCTTTACTCGTATCAATTCTTATGTATTCTTGTAAAATTTTCACAGATGAGTCATTATAATATGGCTTTGTAGAACACATTGATAAAACAATTGGACTAGATGAAACTACAAAAAATAATGCGAAAAAATTAAAAAAAAACGTCATAGACATTTTTGCGTATGTGTCGCGTTGTTAATACTTTCTGAATATTTATCAAGGTTACAAGCTACTTAGGTATACATTCAATTAAATACATTTTTTATATGCAAATATCAACGTAATCAACGAAAATTATCCACATGTAAAAAAAAATAAAAAGTTTTTAAATAGAGATAGAAAAAATAGCTTAAAAAAATGACTTATATTTTAAGAAATAAAAAACAAATTTTAATTATTTATTTATTGTAGCTAAGTAACTCACATTCGCATAAAATTGACTAGGATTGTTACTTCAAGTTAGCAACCCTTTTTAAAATATTAGCGTACACTTGTATTCCTTGTTGAAATGTTGCTATATTTATATATTCATCGGCAGCATGTATCCGCGGCAAGGTGTAGGGTCTGTAGGCAAAGCCAATCGCGGGGAATCCCTTGTTCCTCACCTCGACCATATCCGACGTGGCCGGACATACTATTGGCTCAATCTTAAGATCCCTGACAATATACAATTTTAGATGTAAGATGTAGGATTCTTCAATACACTGTGTTAAAAGATTATATCTCTCTCATTCTCTTTGAAAAAATGAGATGAGATGTTTCCATCAAATGTTCATCAAGTAATCTTTTGATAGTCAGCATAGAAATGAGGTTAGATTTTGTTGTCACTAGTTGAATAATTTTTTAGTTATATTACTTAAGTTAATATGTTTATTTCAGAACAAATCTAAACAATACAATTAGTCAATGAATGCCACTTACATATCTCTCATAGCTTCTACAAGAGCTACCCAATAGGGATTAGACCCGTCCAGTGTGGTGCGTTCTGACACTTCTACTTTACGAATGAATGACACTTCAGTGTCATTGCCCACCTGCTCAATCCAAGACTGTATCTGGAATCAATAAGTCGAAATAAGTTAAAAGATTACTCTTCAAAATGGATTGTTCATGGTACACTCAGGGCACTTCGCGGTGTTACACTTACAGAAAAAATACCTCGTTCCGTGCAAATTTAGTTATTGGGTAGCACTGAGTTGCGCAAAACAGAGGATATTAATTAAAAAAAAAGAATTAGTCGTGTACCGCCTAACGGTTTTTTTCTTTCGTCACAATTCTTACGAAACTTTCCAACGACTTTAAGATAGAATACCTTCAGATTCCCCAATAGTACATAGGGTATAGAACGTACATGTGCAGACGAATGGAAATAGAAGTTTCAAAAGATATCCTTAATCTCTCTTCTTCTCTGGGTACGAGAAGAGGCGTATAATTAAGAATGATTCTTACCAAGGCATTGAAGTCACCAACTTGAGCAGACATGGACAATCTCATATCGATCACCAAATTCACTTTACTGGGTATTATATTCGTAGCGACGCCGCCCTGAAAAAAAAAGTTTCTATGGAGAGAGAGGGGGATAAAAGATACATTGGCATGTATCTTTTTCTAAAAAAATACCACTCTAACAAAGAATTCGAATCAAAAATTACAATACCTCATCATTCAAAAAAGAATGGAACGGACTTACATAATTTCATAGCCTCGAAAAACCCTTAAATATTCGGGCAATAAAATAACATACGTATAAAGTACACGTATTTTAACAAGCTACCTACATAAATACTTAAGGGATATTTCAATTAACAGAAATGAATATTTATTAATTATATTAAGTTAAAATTCTAGCTAAATTAACAATATTAAATTTTTTTATGTTTCATACATTTTTGCGTAGTCATTATTGCTTTTTAATATTCTACATTACTAATTTATATTAATGTATACAAAACGTTATTTTAATTATTCCTATAATTAAAATACTTACATTAATTATATTAACATTAAGCGTTGTGTAAGATCCATAATCCATTGGCTCCTTAGAACTCATGATACGTTTTTGCTGTGTCCTAAATTCTCTCGTAATGTCCAACAATCGCTGTAACTGCGTAATACGATATCATTAATAAACAAATAATTAAAAAAGAAAGTGAGTTTTAAAAGTAAGAAGTAAATCTATATATATAAAAGAAAGTCGTGTTAGTTACACTATTTATAACTCAAGAACGGCTTTACCGAGATGTCTGAAAATTGGTGAGGAGGTAACTTAGAGCCAGGAGACGGACATAGGGTACTATTCATTCTTTTTTTTTGCGAATGTTTAAATGGATATGATGTGGATGGATGGACGGGTGGGCTGGGCTACACTACTTAAGTTTATTATATATTCATGCAAAATTACAGTGTACATGTAATTGGCAGTTTTCCTCTTACAATTTAAATTGAATGTAATGTCCAGTCAAATTAAAACAAAACCTGAGAAAAACATTAACCTTTTATCAATAATACACATTTAAATTTTATTGTAATTTTAACATATTCAATGCCACTCCTATTTTCATATGTTAAATCAATTTCGCGAGGCGAGTTAGCAATAACCGTTAACATGAATGAAAAATTAAATCACAACGGATTGATCTTGATAATAAAGAAAAAAAAGATAAAATACAGTATTTATTACCTTTTCCATAGCGCTTCCGTCTGGAACCGAAGATCCATGACCACTTTCTCCGTGAAGTGTTATATTAAGCTCTATAAAAGACACAAAAAATTATATTTTATATACACATTATGTATTTGCGTTGTATTATGTGTTACTATAATAAAAAAAAATTAAATTACAATGGAATTAAAAACATATTACTTACGCCAAGGTCTTTTATCTTGATAAGTAGCGTACAGATTGCCGTCAGCAGACGTCAAACCTTCATCGAAAAAGAAACCAGGATTCAAGGCACGAAATTCTTCAGTTTCAACAAAGGGTACCATACCACTAAAACCGCCAGTTTCTTCATCTGAAATAAATTAATATTGTTATTAAAATTTAAACTGAATAATAAGATTGATATACTAATTATGATGAACCTGGCATCAGAAGCACGTGAATTGTTCGCTGTAATTTAACGCCTTTCTCTTTGAGAGTCCTGATGGCTTCTAAATACGTGATGCTTAGTGCTTTTGTGTCTTGAGCGCCGCGCCCATAAAGATCTCCGTTCTCGTCGATATATCCCGAAAAGGGATCATATTTCCATTCTTGCTAAAACAATAAAAATATTCTTTACTTAAATATTCAATTAATTAAATTATTTAATTAGTATTATTATTTTTACCTCTGCAACTGTTACGACATCAATATGAGAGTTAAGTATAATACTCGGAAGTTTGGGATTCAAGCCAATCCATGTTATGACACAAATCGGCTTCTTTGCTGGACGGTATACTGCAAATGGCAGACCTAAGACGCTTGACTGTCGTTTCCAAAATAAGACAGCAGATTCTGAAAAGTAAATGTTAGGTATGATACTTTATGTAAGAGATACAATCATTCACCAGTTTCGCCGTTCTACCTTCGGACGGTCAGCACAATATGTTCTACTTTTCTATACGAAATGGTATATCAGTCGTAACTCTACATTTTTGTGTGAAACGCCAAAAAGACTAATCCTAGGTAGAATATATGTCCTACAGTAATCATTTATTTTTTAAATTTTAACTACGTTACCAAATACCAAGTAATCACGCCTGGTAACGCACAAAATAATTAACAAATTTTAAAAGCGTGTTTTATAATTAAGAAACGAGTAACAATAAACTGTCTCAGAGTATGTTTTAAATTTAAAAAAAAATATAAAATAGTATCTCAATATGTTGGTATATTTATATTCAGCGAATAAAACAAAAAAAAATCAGCGCACATCAAACTTCCAAAAGCTACGCATTTGCTGTTCTTCTGGTGTACGTATGACTATAGGCGTGGAATCAATTATAAGGCTGTCCCTTTGCCCACTTCTCCTTTTGAAAGAAAAAAAAAAACAAAACAGAATTCTATAATAATAGCTGTAATGTTATAAATGTAATAAATTTAACAATTATTTACACTAGAATTAAGTATTAAAAATAGTTGAATTATTTCTATTACATATATTATGTATAATTTATTTAAATTTTAATACAGGAAGGCATACAACTTTGATTTCAATCTTTCTATTGAATCCTTGATTCTATTATATTTATTAGGTATGTATTGTTGATTTATATTAAACGTGTAATCAATATGTTAAAAATTTAGGTTTATTGTGTATATTCACTTCACGGTCAACTTCTGTGCAAATATTATGTAAACACTTCAAGGTTTTGTACTGTAAATTGTGTGCGTGTGTAACATTTGATCTTGTAAGTATTAAGAGACACCTTTACTAGACTACTAGAAATTTAAATAACTACAGTAATATGATTTACGCGAATTATCCAATGATGAATTCTAATCCACGATTACCATGGGTCTCGACACATACGCAAGCACTTACTCGGAAATTTTTATCTTACACCAATATGAAAAAACAAAGATTACAGTTTACATTAACATTAACGTAAAGTATACGTTCTTAGCAGAAGTATCGCTCAAGAGACTCGCACTTTGCGTAAAAAAAAGAATTTATTGAACACTAAGTTTGTCAGCGCAGAATAAAAAAAAATGCTTAAAATATGCCCGCGTGCATCATCTAACTTACCGTCGAAATCATTCCAGCCTATCCGGAGACAGCTATAGCTGAGTGGTTAAGCAGTTGATTTGTAATCTGCAGATCCTTAGTTCGAACCCCGCCATATACAAATATATTTTTCGAAATGTATTTACATCATCGTGCACATCGTGGTTCCACCTGTACAAACCTATGTGATGTCAACCAAATCGCACTAAGCCAGCGTGGTTGGCTATGGCCTAGTCCCCCTAACATAGGGTAGGCTCCTCACTCCTCGCTGGGGATGTATAGTGGGCTGGTAATGACGCTCAAATAGCCTACCTTATGTTTATCAACCCAATCGTCCTTACTTTTTGCTTTTAACTCATTAAATTATTTCTTTGACATAAAATATATTAAAACTCACCAATATTTTCTTCGCGACTTGTATCTATTCTCATATACTCTTGCAATAATATCACTGTAGATTCATTCATTAATTTTTGCATAACATATTCCTTTGGTATTGGATTTGAGAAAGTTAGGTTAAAAAGTATAAATAGATATATTAAAATCGTCATCCTTGAATACACGATGAGACCCAGCATTACACTGAACGTTTTAATGTCGATGTCACAGATATGTAAATTAATTAGTTCGCAGTAAAACTACGTAATAACAAATTAAATATGTAATTATTAACTGTTGCCGGCGACTTTATACACGCCGAGGTATAAAACTGGTTACTTTGTTGTGGAAATATTTTTTTGTTAAAAAACAAAGAAAATCTGTCGCAAGGTAACCGTACATTTTAACATTTTTCCGGGATAAAAAAACCTATGCATAACCCAACATACATTATAGTTCTGTATCAAATTTTGTGGAAATCCGATCAGACGTTCCGGAATTACCTGATGACAAACAATTATCTAAAACAATGAAAGTAAATTTATATACATTTTTATTAAATTTGAATGATTATAAGCTTAACTCTTACACGTAGTTTAATTAAAATTATTGTTTCATTATTTATGTTTATTTATACTCGTGAATAACAGCTGTAAATCTTTCTTATCAAACTAGGCCACAATATAAATGTGGTTTGCCACTGTCGTGACACTTGCATTGGCATATATTGTTGTCTTTGTTATTTCAAGAAGAATGAGAAAGATGACGTATGCGACAAACAAATTTCACCGCAGTGGAACCCCACAGTTATGTTGGCATAATTTAAATGGGTACCAAAATATTCAATACAAAAAGTAGTACCTAGTCATAACATGATCTATATTGATATATAAACACGGCTAAACACTCAGTTTTATATATCAGTTTAGTATAATGTCTCACGAAAGTTTAAATAACATGATCTATGTTTATAAATGCTAAGACAATTAGTAAGAATGAGTATCTTCGGATTTCTATAAGTTGTATTGTTTACTTAACTTTAAGTTTCCACTGCATAAGCAACTGCATAAAATCATCAACTCTGTTTTTTAAAATAATGAAAGAATCTTCAGCACCGCTACTAACTGTTCGTCCGCACCAAAATAGCGAAAACCAAATAAGCACAAAATATCACGTCTTATAGCCTGTCCACGTATAGAGGTAAATATGGTATATGGAAACCTTGGATTATCTGCTAAAGTAAAAAAAAAATATATAAACAAGATGCTTCAAGGTCATCGTTAAATTGAAATCACTGCCAAAAAAAAAATTAAAATAAAACACTTTTTAAATGATTTATACAAATTTAATATAAAGTAAATAATAAAGTAAGTATACTATTCATTATTTTTAACAGGGTCTTTTTGTGTATCTTTACGTGTGTGTAAAATACTATAGTCGTCACTAACGTTTCCCATCTCTTCTTCCTCTCTTTTACTCTCCATCTCTTTGTAACCTTCAACATCGTCTAGAGCAGAGAATACAGCATTCTTTTCTATTTTAGCCAATATCTTTTTATCGTGGTATGGATGACAGTGTGGATTTGCCCTAAAATTAAATAAAAATAAATCATAATTTAATTATTTTGGAGAATAATAATATAAAAAAATAAGAACTATTTCTTTCGTGTTTTTTATTAAGTTTTATTTTATTTATATAAAGTTGTAATAACATGCAGATACTAACCGTGGGTTTCTGAGACCGAAATCACCGCTTAAAACATATTATATTTATAATGTCAAATATATTTCCAGGAATGTCGTTATGTTTTATAATATATTTGAATCTCAGAAACCAACGGTAACAGAATTTCGCGTTTATTTTGACAGTAACTAGTTGTAACAATATTTTTAATTGAAATTATCATGTGCTAAATCAAATTACCAATGTTTTAGCAAGAAATAAAAGTAATATATAAGCCGCAGTTACCTGTTTATTACTACATTCCCTTTAGTTACAAGGAAGGCCATACATTTACTACTCCTATAATCAACGCAACGCCATCGTTTCACGCCAGAGTTTTGAGTCGAATTCAAATTATACATATATCTATTCAATATAACTTGTAAGGAACCTCTTATCGATACTGTAAATTGTAAATTGGTATTGGAAGCCTGTGGTAAATTCGTTGCCGTTGTCGATCCTTGTACTGGAATAAAAATATAGTCAAGGAATTAAATTTGCGACCCACCTAAGCACGAATATCGCACTTATAATGAATTTGCTTACGTATAGCGTTTCATTAAATATATAATTGCCCATTTCACAACATATATAAATTTGTGATCACTTTATTTTTTTATTACTAATTTAATTTGATTCAAATTTCATCAATAAAAACGTTACAAAATTATTGTTGCATAAAACATGTTTTCCATAAATATACGGAACTAACCTTTAACATTATCCTCTAACTTTCGCTTTTTAGTCAATATGGCAAAATCGTCGTCATCATCATCATGGTGGTCGTTACCAAAATCGTCGCAGTCCGAGAACCCTTGCGAATCCTCTTTCGCGTAGCTACTTTGCGTATTTTGTTTCGTAGATCTATAGTAAAATTAAATATTTTTAAACAAAAAAATCTCATCAAACACAACTCATGCCCATATCCTAGAGGATTAGGCAGAAACCATGGACTTCCATTTAGCTAGGTCTTGGCAAACCTCTCTCGCTTCTACATTTATAAATCTACAAATATCTACATGTTTGTTTCGATTGCTCTTAACTAAAACTGCCTCTTATTTTCTTGCCATAAACAAGTCTTATCACAGTAGTACAAAGTAAAAGAAAAGTAGATAATTATGTAGCAGTGAGTTGCGCTAACGTCTTCATTAGAATAAAAAATAATTAGTTGTCATTTCATTGCTTAGGAAATGTTGAAACAACTATCGCTTTAAGGTGGGATACCACCAGATTTTCTGATAGTACCTATGAAAAATTTGTAAATATATGTAAAAGTAATAAAGTTTTTCATACCCCGCAGAGCTTGTAACAGTAGTTTCAGGCTGACTTTGTCTTATTAATATCTTCCGCGCATTCAGTGGTAAACTTTCCTGTAATTAATTAAAAAATACTATTTGAATTAGAACTTTAGAAACTTTTACTCTATAAGGCATATCTTTTATGATAGGAATTGGCATAAAGTGAATAAATCAATTGAAACCCACCCGTCCTAAAGGAATTTCATTGTTAGTTGATATTAATCTTCTTACCCCAGGAAATACTACATTTGAATCACTTTCATCATTTCGTTTACTCGGTGTACCAGTAACTGCTACTTCATGACCAACCTGGAAAAAAATATCTTTTTAGTATTAACTCACAAACATTGTAACTTAAAAACAAAGAAAAAGCTAAAGCAAAAAAAATAACTGATTATATTCAATGTAAAATGTAGATATTGATATTATAAGATTTTACTATTAAACAGATAACATAATCTCTTTCATTCTGCTTGAAAGAACTAAGATATACTAATATTCTTATGCTCAAGGACGTTTGACAGGGTAACTAATAACTCATGGATTCAAAATTAAATTTATTAGTATATTGGACACTGACATTTGTAGTGATTTGATCAAAAGTTTCCCACAGATATATTATATACTAACAAATTATATTTATAATTACCAACTTATTACTTTGTAACTATATTTAAAATCCAGGTAATCCATGACTTACAATAGTTTCAAGCCCCTTTATGTGCAGGGCTTTAGCTGCCTCTATGAATGCATTAAGGTTGACAGATGGAACTAAAGCCTCTCCAGTGTAAATATATTCCAACAAGTGTGAAAGTGTTGTATATGATATATTCTGTAACAAATATAAACTGGAATTTGCAGGTGAACATCTGTGCAACAATGTAGCAACCAAATAATCTAATTAGAAAATATGTGTGATGATGATTTTTACTGGAAACAAATACTTACATTAAGAAAAAAAACTGGGTGTTGACATGGAGCAGAAGCCAACAATTCCTTGATATATGGACTAGCAAGCGCTAGCAATACCTGATGGACCTTCACAAGATGGCCATCAGCTGCTAGAGTCATGTCAACAAACTCCCCATTCTTTAAAGAAAATTATAACAAATATAAGGAAAGCAGACTATCATATTTTTGTAAGGTCTGGTATAAAAACTAATTGTAATTAAAAAACAATAATAAAAATTCAGGAAAAACATAAAGGTGATATTAAAATAGTAAAATTTAAAGAGAACCCCTTGGTCTCTCTTTTATCCAAGTTCAATTATAAATACATAGATAATGTGTAACGTCCTTAGAAAGGTTTAAGAAAAGTGTTGCTTCACAATGAATATCACAGTTTTTTACCTGTTGCAATGCACTAAAGCCGCCACAGATATTTGTTTTGTATGAATCCCAAGACAACGCAAATTGCGGTTGCACCATTTTACATTATTAAATGAAGGTGGCTTAATAGTCACAACCCTATAGACTTTAACGTACACTTAAAACAAACTTGAATAATTACTGACTAAGAAAGTATTTGGAAAATAAGCCAGAAACAGACAACTGACATCTGGAAATTTGACACAGGACGCACCACAAGCCATAACTGTCAAATTAGTCAAATATCAAACTGTTAAAATAAAATAGATCAAAACTTCAAAATAGTTTTTCCTGCGATCGACTAAGCACGTTTTTCGAAAGCAACGCAAACTTTAGTGGGTCAATTTAAATTAATTTGCAACAACTCAACTATTTGATTTGTGGTCGAATTTATTTTTACAATGAGTCCCCAAGTTTTATTATTATTGGTAGGAAATAAAAGACATTTTAGTAGGTTGCCAATAGGTTGCGCTCATCTAGCAACAAGCATGTTTTAATGTCAAGTTAATTTTTTACCGTGCAACTTTGTGACTTTTCGTGTTTTCATATCGCAGTCAATCAAACATTTATTACAAATAAAATAAAATAAACATTATACTGTCTGACGTCCGAGTGCGGAGTAACACGGAATTGCTTTTTAGAATTGATGCTAGTTCTAGATTAAATTTAGAAATACTTGGTTCTTGTCATTTATTGTAACTATTTGTATAGTGTTAATATGCAACTGTGATGTAAATATCTTGGTTGAAGCATAGAGGTGTTGAAGGGTACCTTTAAGCTTTATTTTAGGTAGAATACTAGTTGTATAAAAAAAATCTAAAGCTTTTTGACATGTCTTTCATAACCAAAAGTGCAGTGTCGTTACCAGTTTTGTCTTCAAAAATCTTTCAATGTTTAGGTTTTTTAAATTATACAGTTACACGAAGGTAAAAAAACAATATCGATTGAAAGTGATCTTGTCTGGCAATGGTCTGATATTATAATTTGCACAACTATTTTTATTTTTAGGTACAGCAATCAAAAGCATCACAGTTATGATATTGTGGTAATTGGTGGAGGAATTGTTGGATCCGCTTCTGCTCGTGAATTAATATTACGACATCCGTCACTGAAGATAGCAATAGTTGAGAAAGAAAATCGTTTTGCATGTCATCAAAGTGGAAACAACAGTGGTGTAATTCATGCTGGTATTTACTACAAACCTGGTTCATTGAAAGCCAAGTTATGTGTAGAAGGTTTGAATTTATCATACCAATACCTTGACAAGAAAGGTATTAAATATTCAAAATGTGGCAAACTAATTGTAGCTACACAAAGGTCAGAAGTGCCCCGCCTTCTTGATTTGTATGATAGGGGAGTTAAAAATGGTGTTAAGGATATTAAACTTCTGGATTCTAAAGAGATGCGTGAATTAGAACCAAACTGTAGAGGACTAGAAGCACTGTGGTCACCACATACAGGTATTGTAGACTGGGGTGAAGTAACTAATTCCTATGTGAAAGACTTTGAGGAATGTGGTGGAAAAAGTTACCTTAATTTTGAAGTAACTAAATTCATTGAATCAGAGGGGGCTGAGTACCCTGTTATTTTAAATAGTTCAAAAGTTGACAAAATAGAGGCGAAGTATGTGTTAACCTGTTGTGGTTTACAATCAGATACAGTAGCGGTATTAACTGGATGCCCTGAGGAGCCAAAAATAATTCCATTCAGAGGTGAATACTTGTACTTAAAGCCAAATAAAAGTAAAATTGCAAAAGCCAATATTTACCCAGTACCTGACCCAAGATTTCCTTTCCTTGGTGTACACTTGACACCAAAGATAGATGGAAGAGTTATTGTCGGACCTAATGCTATTTTAGCATTTTGTAAAGAGGGGTACAGGTAAATTATTTATCAATCTTCTCAAACTTGATTATTATAAATTATCACCAAATAATAAATATGAACTCTATTTCAGATGGGGTGATGTGAATATGAAGGAGTTAAGAGAAATAATTAGATTCTCTGGATTTCAAAGGATGGCTCTAAAATATGCAAGTTTTGGGTTGAAAGAAATGAGTAGGTCACTTATTATGCCACTCCAAGTAATGCAAATACAAAAATATATACAAAACATAACTAGTGCTGATGTGGAAAGAGGGCCAGCGGGAGTCAGAGCGCAAGCTATGGCAAAAGATGGTAGGTTTTTTTTAATGAATCAACTAGTGTAGAATAAGTAGTGATGCGATTGAAAACTGATATTGTATGGTATTGTATATAGTATCCTGATGTTTTTCTATAATATTTTATAAGGAAAAAAATACTAGTGAATAAGAATGACTGGTTTCCCATGTTTTGTCATTATGCACTAGGAAGTTTTACTTTAACAATTGTCATGCCACCGTGATTACTCACTGGAATTTATTGTATTTGGGAAAGAAGTATTACTTGACAAAATGTTTATATTGAACTGGTATTGATTTGAACAAAATATGTTAATTTCAGGCACATTGATAGAAGATTTTGTGTTTGATTCTCAACCTGGGTCTGGTGCAATTGGCAGTCGAGTGCTGCATTGTAGAAATGCACCATCTCCCGGTGCTACATCATCTTTGGCTATCGCTAAAATGATAGCAGATAAAATGGAAGAAGAGTTCAAACTATAGCAGGTTGTTTTTTGAGTATATTTATTACACTACTTATACTATTGTAAGTACAAATGTTTTTAATATGGGCTATTATTTTATAAGAGTCTACAATATATAATGCACAGTAATATTCCAGACACAATATATCTAATTGAATTAGTACAACTGTGATGTTTTATGTATTTTTAATGACACATCTTATCAGCTTGTGGATGACAAGTTTGTTTATTATGAGTTATGCAATAGTTTCTTTGTGATAAAATCCAGATAGCTATATAAACACATACACATTTATATAGTAAACAAATGGATTGATTAATAGTTTTATTTACTTCCTAAACCGTCTTGGTTGAAAGTATACTAAACATAAATCCTATTTTATGACTATTTAGAAGTAATATAATATAAGCGTCTCTAGTTTAATCAACACTATTGGTAATTGGGATTATGTTATCTAGTCTTGTAAATGCAAGTCGGATTGTTGTTTATATAATGCTGTTTACATTTAAATATTGCAATAATGTCATTAATTAACATGATTATATTGTTCATGTCTGATGAGAGCAAGGATTTATTGATTTTTTTAAGGAAAATGGACATTATATTATGTTAAAAATTACATTTTCCGTGTATACATTTTATTTTAATAATCATATATTATTTTTTCATTATTACTTTTAGATTTATATTGTTCTTTTCGAATATATTTTATAAGTCTTTAAAATTATTTTACTCATTAATGTACAAAGAATAAATGTTATATTTTTTATGAATGATTATATTGTTGATATTTTTGTTATTAAATTATAAATAAAATAATTGTTTTATTTCCCCATATTTTATTGCATCTCTAGAAAAATACAAATAAAATGGTGTCGCACATTATATATTTTTTTTACATATAATACAATCTATCTACACATCTATTTATAAAGGAAGACGACATGGAAAATTTTTCAATTAAATTGAATATTTTATACTATTAATAAGTACACATAATACTAAAAATGAATATATTGTATAGCAGACTAATTAGCTAAAATATTTGGCAGAAGTTTGTAATTTTTTCCATTAAAAGATATTTACTAAATAATGATAAAGCTGGCCATAACTCAAAGTTAAGTTTCTTTTAAAAAAAAAGACTGCAAAATGATTTTTGTCATACATTAATAATGTCATTTATTTATCTTGACTGTCACTTTAAAGCTGTATTCTCTATTATCTTAGATTTTCTATTATTCTAATCTAATGCCTCTTGTACTAAGATAAATATTCCTCCTCTCCAAATCATACACCGTTGTCATGTGGAATGCAATGTTGCTGAACACAACAATATATTCAGAAAACCCGAACATAGAGTATACTGAAATTATAAAAAGATTAAGTCACTATTTTTAAATTTGAGTCAATAAATATATTTTTTTTATAATGTGCATATTGTCTTACCATAAGGTTCACAGAGTCTGTTGTGTCTTAAAAAGAAGTAAGCAGCAATCGTAAATGACACAACATTAATGGAAAATGCTCTCCATTTCAATTTAACAGAGTTTCTCTCTAAACGAGTCATGTGAGACTTCCTTCTGTACTGAGTAACCAGTACACTTGTTAGCAGCATGTAAAATATTGATGTTCCAATAAATGTCTTGAAACATACTTCATGAAATGCTGAAACATAAAAATTAACAAGATTGTTCATATTAGTCATTCAGAAATAGTGATGACTTAAAGTGAAATTATGTCAGGTTTTTGATTGTGATTTTAAACAGGAAGTGAAGATTTTACACTATTTCATACACGGAATATTGATCTTATTAAAGCTCGTCACAGCAAAGAAATAAACACAGTATATTGGAACCTGAATATGCAAGAAACCTCTGTAATGGAGTCATTGTGACTTTGTCATTGCACCAAAGAACTCCATAAGTGAGATAGTCAGATAAGCGAAAAACTTTTACAACCAAGAAAAATATTGTGCTTTCTTGAAGGTTTCACTATACTACATACTAAAATATTATAAAATTACTTACGGTAATTCAGAGACGAAGTCCAATAACTCAGGCCAACCAATGACAGATTTTCTATTACATTTAAAGATACAGCTACATTAACTATAACACTGAAAGTGTCTAATATAATTTCTCTATAATATTTCCATCGTAAATATATAATAAAGAACCTGATAGGTGCATGGATGTAAATGGCAGTTTTCCAAATTGTTCTTTGGGGTTCATAATTTCCAATAGATGCCGATATTGAAGGGAATATATTTGGTACGTTGCAATGTGTGTGATTAGCTCTATCAAAATCTTTATACATTGTCAATATTATACACATTATAAAAGCAAGTAATGGCAGCAGTACAGTAAAGAATCCCAATTTAGATACAGAAATTCTAACCACACATCTCTTTTCGTATACATTGTAAAGAGGAAGATACATTTACTTTTTCATGTGAAACTTCCTTCACTGCAGTAGTGATGATCTAATCAAATATTGGTTCACTTGAAATTTACTTGTTTAGATTATCCATAACGCTTGTTTCAAATGATAAAAACATCTTATTAACTGTTAGACAAAGAAAATTTTATAACAATTTCTAGTATATATTATATAAGATAAATTATTTTAGTAATTAACAACAAAACCTGCATACTGCATAAATAAAATAACTGTCAAATATGTGCATTATTTTCTGTCAGTGTCATGTCAACGTGTTTTGTCACTGCGGGATGTCATAATTTATAAACGTAGTGATAATTTTTTTTACTAATAACAATTTTAAAGTATTTAAAAAAAATCGTGAATTATTTTATTAATCTTGTATAGCAAATATTTTACTTTAAATGCACTGTACGTTTAAATCAAAATTTACTTGCATAAACATGGAGAGGCCGGTGGTCTCTGCCTACCCTTCTGGGTTACGGGCGTGAGATTTTATTAAGTTTTAAAAAAGTAGCCTGCTTCTTGAAAGGTCATGTTGCCATGGCAGCGTCGACTGTTTTTGAATTAAATTATGCATAAGACATCGCACCAAAATTGTTAGATCAATACTTTTATTTACTTAAGGACATCGTAAGAAGTCTTAAAAATACAAATTTATCTATATATTAAATAGGACACATTTATGAGTATAAGCTTGAAGAATTCTGTGGTATGACTTTGTATTATTATTTATATTCAATTCAACGAGTGCTTTAAGAGTAACATAGTTCCAAAAAAATAAAGTAAAATGTTCATTCTTTTCAATTTCCTACAGGTTTTTAAACAAAGTTTCCTTTTTTTCTGTTACAGAAATTGATAGCTAATTGCACTTTATTGTGTACCTATTTTTGAGAATATTTTCAGGAATTTTTTTTTAAGTGCTCTAGTCAAAATATGAACAGGGATATTGTTAATTTGCGAAATTATTTTAACAAGCTTAATTTACGGAATGAAATTTGTATTAAGAATGCTATGAAAAAAATAGAAAGTTGTAAACCAAACTTGAGGAAAGAAATCTCGAAATATGAAGATCTCGAAAATGAAATATTTGGTTTCAATAGCGACAATTCTGACGATTTAATTGTAAAACATGATACCAGTTTTAAACCGCAAATAAAGCCACAGAAACGTTCCAATAACGTAAGCAATAAAATGAAGCAAAGAAAAGATAATATCGATATTAGTGCAATGAGCAAAAAGAGAAAAATCACTCAGGATAATAATTTAGAACAAAGTTATTCATCTAACGAAATCAAGTGTGTAAATAACGATTTAGATTTTAATTATAATGTTAAGACCCAAAATATAGACGACACTATAAAATCTGAAAGCAAGATTAACGAACATCGTACTGATCTCGAATCTCTTTTAATTATGATGGCTATTGATTCGAACGTTGAAAAAGACAATAATGAAAAGGACGATATTTCTTTCGCTAGTTATCAAAGAAACAATTTAGATGTGGAAACTAAGAATGATAATAATCGAATTCCTATTACAATGGAAATGGAGAACGGTAAAATATCAGAAGTATTATGTATTATTCCGTTTAGAACCGAAGCCCAGAATAGACATAATTTTTTGGGGAAGAAATATTTCAAAAAATGGAAAATTTACGCCGATACAAGGAGACAGATAAAAGAAAGAGAAATTGCTATTAATAAGTTTTTCGATAAACTGACAGAGAAGAAGAATAGTTCAAAACAATCAATTGAATCTGTTAATAAAACAAAATTACACGTTCGAGACTATAACACCTATCAACACAGGTATGGCCATTTTTTTCGATTTCGTTTGTGCACACAGCTACAATTTAACTAAAACTGGCTTACATGAGTGATATGGGTATTAATTGTCGCCAACAAATATCCATCGCGTCCTCATAATTTGTGGCGTTACCTTTCCTGTTTACTTTTTGCTTATTATATTTCGGCCTCTATATTATCCTGGCACTCTCGCTTCATGACTGCCACTGAACAGGATTATCTCTCAAATTCCTAAGCACTGCGTCAGAGTCAGGTCGTGATATGAGCTTATGATTCTTATGCTCACAGTCACAACCATTACATATGAGAATACATTTACATTTCCCATCCATTTTCATCAGGTACAAAGTGCAGCAAAACATAATCGCTTTACAAAAGATGAAATTAGACGAACAAAATAAAATTATAGAACAACTTAAATGTAACAAAATTATTGAATCATCTAAGCAATCGTTGGAATCAATGCGAGACGAAATTTGTAAAACGTATTACCAAATTGATCGACAACTCAAACCGAAGATCAAATGTTTAACAAACGAATTAAAGATTCGGGAAATAGAAGGTATGTTCTTACAAAAATAATTTTATACATTGTAAAACAAAATGACACACTCACGAAAAAATCACATATCGTCCCATTTTTCTGCCAGTTTGCAATGTAAAAATTGTCATTCCAGAACCATCATTAGTGCTTCACTGTTTAAAAGTACCGCAATTTATACAACGTATGGAGTATAGGGCAAGAGAACGCGAGGAAAAACATGCCATGATTCGAGAGAGACGACGGCAGATGGAAGAAGAACGCCTTAGGCTGAAACAACAGGTCGGATACTTTTAAGTAGCATCGGAATTATAATAAAGTTTTTTTTTAGTTTTTAATCAAAGATTTATTTTAGTCTGAATTGGCTAAAGCCGAAATGGATAAAGAAGAAAAATTGAAAAGAATGAAAGAATTAAAAGAGAAACGAAAGAAGGAAAAAATAGAAAACATAAGGAAGAAACAACACGCTGAAAGAATGAGGGCTCTTATTGTGATGGCGGATCTACATTATGAAAAAAATTTGATGGCAAAGTATGGAATTAATCCATTAAGGAAGCTAATGGCAATAAAACAAGATAATATGGAAAAGGCTAAAGCACATTACCTTTTCCAAATTAAGAAGAATGTATTTTTGCATTGGATGTGGCATACAGAAGATATGTGGTTGGAAAGAAATTATATAGCGGAAGATTTTTATAGAAAGAAAATTTTACGCAAAACGTTCGACTCTTTTAAACAGGTAATTCGTAAACATGTTATATGATTTACCGTAGGTCTCTGATACAAAAATCTTTGTGTAAAATATATCGTCATCCCTGTCTTTCATCTTTGATAAAACAGAGATAACTATATGTTTTAAATGGTGTTCTTTGGTCTCGGAATCCCACTGTTAGTGTCAAATCCAAGTGTAAAATATAAAATGCTAATAAGTTTTATTAAATTTTCAGAACTATCGTGATTATAAATTAAAACTTCAAGTTGCCGAAGATTATTCTGATTTATACGTATCGCAGTTAGTATTTCGTGAATTTCGTAAAGGGATAGAAATGATTAAAAAAGAGTATCAGATGAAATGGTACAAAGCTGAAATATATCATAATAGGTACGATTAACACTGGTAATTTTAGTAGGAACGTCGCGCTTTGAAATTTAATATGACACATGTGCATTTGACCCTTTTTCTTTACTAAATATACCTAATTTTTATTTTTAATATTGCAGTAATATACTTTTTAAAACATTTACATGTTGGAGAGCATTACCCGCTTTGAACGCTTTAATAAGAGAACAAGAGGCCAGAAAATTAAGATGGCGGGAAAAAGTGTTGCAAGTTGTACCAGATTATAAACCACCCGAAGAGTAGTTAAGTAAAAATGTCACGATTAATATTAAGATTATATGTGTTTTGTATTAAGCATACCTTTAATTATTTAAGGATTTTTTTTATAATAATAAGAACGATATTTAATTAATTATACGATTTTAAATGTATGTTCACTTTGTTCCAATTATTTCTGTTTTTGCGTATTCAAAAATATTCTCGTAGTATTTAAAATAAAATAAAAAAATAAAACATCTTATTATATTTATATTTTATTTTTCATTTCATACAAAAATCATATAAAATTTAAATAAAGGCTTGTAAAATATTAAGTTAAAATGAATACAATTATTTCAACCCTCAAAATATACTGGAATCTTATACGATTATCTAATACTGTACAGTATGAATAAATGTTAATTGACATATAGTCAAATAGTAATTTACTCTTTTGCTTTTGCCAATGGAGTAACAAAACATGGGAATAGGATAGCGTCTACGTCCCTCTCTTTCACATTTATAGGGTTAAAGGAAGATGCAATAACGTACCAATTGTAGTATAGATAATAATGAAAATGACCTTGAAAAGGTACGAACAGTAAACACGAAATTATTTGTCAGAGAAATAAGGTAATGATTGTAATACAATGCCTTTCAGGTTAAGACTATTAGGACCATATATTTTTTAAAACAAGTTAAGTACTTACAAGTAAAATGTTTTCTTATTAATAGTTTTAAGTTAGTAATAGATACTTAGATATTTAGTTCACTTTTCGTTATACATTTTATATATTTTTAACAAATTATTTCAAAGTCTTTTAAGACTTAAAATGCTGATATGCTTTTAGAATTGTGTTTATTAAAGTTTGGAATTTATAAGTCCTCTTTTGTACGCAATGTAATTTGCCAACCAAAAAATTAGGCAATAAAATTAAAATCTTACACTAACAATCATTTTGGATGATTAGTAATGCATTAAAAAGCCCAGATTTTCATACTAAAAATATCGTAAACAGTATTAATGACTACTTATTATGACCAATTATATTTTATCTCTTATTAAGAGTTTCGATCTACACATTTTTTTAATTACTAAATTAGCATTATATTTAATTATTTTATATCTTTGGAAATGTATATAGTAATTGTGATTATATCACACTGTCGCATTTACAAATTTCTTCCACTGTGGCGCTGGAAATAAATGTAAAAGTTAAAATTTATTCATGAAATTGTTAATTAAATTAAATTAAGAAAAATTTAAAATTAGTACTTACCCATGTACTTCGGTATAAATACAAAGAAGTGGCGTATCAATATAAGGGTAACAACACACAAGTATCCCAATCCATACATGCAGCAAACAAATGATATTGCTAATCTGGAAGTTAAATAAAATGTTTTTATTTTCATTATAAAAAATAGTATAGTTGTCTTGTTTATATTATGCCAGTACAAGTACAGTCAGCGTCATATAGATCGTAACAGACAATATATGCAAATATATAGGTACATCAAAAGTAATCAATTATATCGGTACAACAAAAGTCCTCAAAATAATAGATACATTCACCCTGCTCAAATACATCGGTACATACACAGCGTCAAATATATGAGTACATGCAAGATGCTCATAAATATCGTAGCAGCCACAGCGTCATAAGTAACGAAGCAGTCAAGGTGCGCAAAAATATCGGTACATTTGACAAAATTGAACTCTATCTCTATATACTTGTGATACAATTTGGAATAAACTACTTCTGTTACATTCATTTGACACTTTGTATTAACATTATAGGTTATCCGGAAAGTTCGTTCTGATTTTCGATATGAAGCTTACAATAGACTGTAGCTGAAGTGGATTCATTTTCGGATTTCCACCATTATCAAACGTCACAAAAATTTCTATATTATAAATAATTTCATTTCATTGGTTGAGATAAAAACTAATTTTTAAAATTTTATCCAATAATAAAAGACGTTTTAGGTATAGAGTCGTACCAATATAATTTAAAAACATTTCCAAAAATTTAAGAGAACAGGGTTTCAATTTTCCTTATAAAGCGGCACGAACTTACTGGGCAACCCAATATTTTTCTTCTCCTGTCATAACGCTTAAATATAAAAGTATGTCACGCCGAATATGACAGATACGTATTAACTAATATCAAATTTTGCCTTGTCACAATATATATAATACTAGTTTGGCGCAGTATTCTAGTATGTTTGCCGTAATATGTAAGTTTACCGGTTCGAATCTCAGGCTACTTTTTTTTCATTTTATCAATCACGGGGTTATTTTTTCATAACCATTAAAAATTTGGTAAAGTAAAATTTTGCTCGACAATTTTTTTTTATAATTTTCGCTGTCGGGTAGAAAGAAATTTAAATAACGTTAACAACAATTAGGTCAGACCATCGCGGGTGAAGTGAGTGGGCGGAGCGTGGATTGTCTT